AACACACGAAACAGGCCAGAGTCGTAGTAGGTAGAGATGGCAAGGAGTTGAAAAAAGGTTGAAAAATAGCTAGTAGTTGGGTAGGAAGGTCATTGTCTGTATGGACAGATTATGTATATAATATCTACTTTAACTGTTTCTTCCAGAGTGAATATCGGCTGACAGTAACAGTGCTTTATGTGTGTAGATTGTGTACGCAGCACAGTGTGCAGTGTGCTGGAGTTGTAAGCTTTATGTGACTTTGTGTGTGTGTGTGTGTGTCCTCTTCCATTGGACATGCTGATACACAGAGCTCTCTGAGGACCTGCAGTCATCTGAAAAGGCACCACTGTGTGTGTGTGTGCATTCATTGTGTCGTTATTTACTCTAGCGTACAAACAAAGGAAGGTCACATTCAAGGTGACGTGATCTCACCATCTCTGCCTTAACATGCAAACAAGTTATCCCCCCACCCCCACCCCTCCCCCTCTTAGAGAATAGAAAACGAATGAGCACCAGCCGCTCGACCAAAGTCAATTACTGCAGCCCTGGGGATGTCGTCTTAAACAATGCTATTAGTTTCTAATAGTTTTTAATTACTGGCCTTCTTTTTATATAAATCACCCCCTACTTTCTTTCTCTCTCTTTTTTTCTCTGTCATCGAAAAAACCTATTTGTGTCCGTAATTAAATGTAGGAGAGGGGTATGAATTTAGCAGCGCTCACGTCTCGTCTCTGACTGTTTCTGTTTGAGCGGCTCCTGATTAATGCCAATACATATTGCTTGAGATAACCATTTAGTGGTTAATTTGGCCAAATTTATTGCCAGTATGCTGTCACATGGCGGAGCACGGGAGGGTGGTGGGTGGGTGGAGACGGTGGCAGTGTGGGGGCCACCTCCTGTGGCCTGAAATATTGTCACAGTGACACAGCGCTATCTGGTGGAGGACAGCAGGAAGTACCAGCTCTGTATTTTAATCAGTTTATTGCACGGGGGGGAGGAGCTCCAACTACTTACTGGTTCAGGTAACAAAAGTAAAACCTGACTTCAGACTTATTTTACTGGCAGAAATAAATATCCAGTGAAGTGCTCTTAGATAGCCAAAATCAATCAAGTAATTGACAAGAGAACAGACTTTTGTAGAGTTTGATTTGAATCGATAGAAATATAACTCATTCACCTCACATTAATGGGTGAGGTGAATGATCAGAGAAGACTCTGTATAGAAGATGGCTGTGGCTTTCAGGTCTGAAAAGTTAAACCAATGCAAACGTGCCTTAAACATGCATTCTTTCTAATGGCCAGCAGGGGGTGACTCCACTTGTATGTCCTGGAGGTCCAGCTAGAACTCTAGAAAATACCTCAACTCCTCATAATTCTCTTCAGTAAACACTTTCCTCATGAGTTTGTGGTGTCAGTCAGTAGATTTAAGTCTTAAGGACTATATATAATATATATATGATATGATAAAAACACAGCATGCTCAGCTTGAGGTTTTAAGAAGGGACTTCCTTAACTGGTGGGTGCCATCATAGGCTATGAAAAGACCACTTATGTAGATTTATAGGCTACAGTAAGCAGAAGGGAAAACGGGTTGGGAATTGCTGTGCAATCAAAGTTATTGCAACCACGTGCAATCAACGTCCAGTCCTTGCCTTTGAAATGGTCACTTCAAAGACATTCATGTACTGTCTTCAGACTGACTTTAACAGGTCTGCAATGAGTTTTCAGTTAAACTGTGTCAAAATATTATTTCGTGTCAGATCCCAAGCCATCCCTGCGTTGATGAACATTATGTTACTGTGTCAGTGTGGAAATGCTCGCATCAGTTTTTCTGCACTGTGTGAAACTGAATTGGAGTTATGAATCTTAGATGCTGCCTCACATCACTTAGTTAGAAAACTATGCTATGAGAGCATCTCTGAAGAAATGATACATGTCTAGTTTATTGTCTTTGCAGTTGATGGTACAGCTGCTCTGCTGGACTGATAAAGAGACACTCCTGAATAAAAGAGATCCACACTAACCTGACCGTCATTCTCTACATCATTCATTAACTTTTGGTCCACGGTGCTATGGAACAACTTACAAAGTCAATCATTTTCAAATATTAACTCTTAAACTCTGGTAGTCTCCTGTTGATCTCAATATAAAACAATATATCACTTTCTTTGTAAAGTGATTAACAGAGAAACTGACAAAAAACGGAAACTGACAGCATTTTGCATTTTGAAAAATTGTTACGTTACGTTGTGTGATGGTTGTTCAGTGTGTGTGTACTGCTGAGAAAAGGCCAGGAGAGATTTTGTGTACCAATCTCTATGTAGAAATGTGTATAAAACACTGGAACTCACCATGCTCACTGTAAAAATGAAAACATATTTACAGTGAGTATGTATGTATGCATTTTAGCATCAGGGTTTTCCTTCTCCCTGCTCTGTTAAGTTCAGTTAAGTTCAGTTAATCATACTGACATTTTATTTTTTAATAAAATGCAGGAATGCGTTTGTATTTAAAGATTGACATGATAAAGCCAAAGTTAAGGCATGCGTTCACAGCCCTGAGTCACACAGCCATGCCAATTATACCCAGGTGACCCTTAGCCATGCTGCACTAGCCTTAGACTGCTAGGAGGCTTCCTATGATGAATTTCTTTTCACTCTCTGTGTATTTATTCATCACTACTCCAACCAGTTATGGCAGATGGACATTATGATTCTTCCTGGTAAAAGGGAGATTTTAATTCCACTGTCACCAAATGTTTACTAGTGGGTTTCTTACCATATTGGAGGGTCTTCACCTTACAATATAAAACACCTTGAAGTGACTGTTGTTGTCAACACAAAAACTTAAGTACACCCTTACTGGTTACATAAAATTAAGAGGATAAGTAGCAGCCAAGTGCTAATAATATATGTACTTAATTAGCTGATCATCAACAAGTGCGAGGACCTCTTTAAAATCAGAAGTTTTGGCAGTGTGCTTATCTAGAATATTCAGTTTACAACAAACAAAATAAAACAAGGTTTTTCAATCGTCCAGTAAAAATCCCAAACTCAGCCTGATTAAAATGCTGTGGAAACTCAGGAGATCCACCAAAATCGTGGTTGGAGGTAATTATTGCAGTCCTACATATGAAAAGAAAAGACTCTGTACTAGCCATAAAGTCTCTTATGTGTGGACTACAAATTTTAACATCTATTTAAGCCACTAGAACTCAAAATTATATAAAGAAGTATATAAAACCAGTCCAAACAGGATTCATTATGGGCTGTCAGGAAAAAGTAATACAAGAAAAATACTCAATCTACAGTTAATATCTCAGCTTGGATCCTGAGAAAGCATTTAATCAAGTTGATTGGCTGTTTCTGGAACAAACACTGATAGAAATAAGATATAAGATAGAAATAAGATATGGAGAAATATTTGCTACTTGGATTAATGCACTTTATAAAAGTCCTAGGTCAAAAGTTGGGCTTAACAGTTGTTGTTCTGATTCATTTATGGTGGAAACGGGTGTGAGGAAAGGGAGACTCATTATCACCAATTCTCTTTATTGGCTTTATAGGCTCTTACTTTTTCTTTTGGGACTTTAGAGAAACATATGGCTCAGACCAGAGGTACATTTTACGGATACTCCTATTCATTGCTGGGAAAATGAGAACTCTGAAGTGGAAGAAAACAAAACCACCATCCATAACTCAGTGGATACAGAGACTGAATAAGTCTACATAATAGAACAAATGACTGCAAGTCTGCAACTGAAGAAGGGAAAGAACTAAAGAAGAGTGTGCCAGAATTCCTCTGCTATTACATGAGAGACTGATAAAGTCATAGATAAAGAATGAAGTCTTCCTCATCACTGCTAATTTACCACATGCTAAACTTTAGAAAGGTAAGCTTTACATTCAATTCAATTTTATTTATATAGAACCAAATCACAACAATTACAATTGATATTGTAAGGAAAAGATCCTACAATAATACAGTGAAAACCGAGACGACTCCAACAAAAAAGTGAACCCCTTTAAGCAAGCGCTTTGGCGACAGTGGGAAGGAAAAACAAAGGGACGACCATCTGCTACGACCGGTTGACACACTGTAGAAGAGAGACAGAGATAAATGATAGATAAGATTAAATGCAGTGTGGTTTATAAATAAAAAGTGAGTGAAAACAGTGAATGAAAAAGAAACACTCACTGCATTTTAGGAAGTCCCAGCAGCCTAGACCTACTGCAACATAACTAAGGGTGGATTCAGGGTCACATTATCGAGCTCTAACTATATGTTTTATCAAATAGGAAAGTATTAAACCTAATCTTAAAAGTAGAGAGGGTCTCTGTCTACTGAATCCAAACTTGAGGCTGGTTCCACAGAAGAGGGACTTGAAAGCATGCGCCTTTAAATATCCTTGTAACCACAAGTAAGCCTGCAGTCTGAGCATGATGTGCTCTTATTGGGTGATATGGTGCTATAAGGTCATTAAGATAAGATGGTGCCTGATTATTCAAGACCTTGTATGTGATGAGAAGTACATGATTGTGTACTGTCAGAATGTCACAGCAATAGGATATTTCAGCATTCACGTTTCATAAAAACTTGATGTCATGCTTTGAGTGTGTTATTTCAAACCTATGGGAAGCACATGGATACATGAACAGGCAGTGCTGCACACACCCACACAGATACGGAGAGAGCAAGAGAGGCTGGCAGTGTGTGTTGGTCTGATTAATGACGGCACCAGCAGAGCAGCTCTGAGCCAGCTGTCACATGACATCTGATGACTGCCTGCCTCCCTCTCTCTCTTTCTCTCTCTCTCTCTCTCTCTCTCACACACACACAAACACCTCTCAGTCTTTGTTTCTCTCGCACCTTCCACCCATCCAAACTCCCCTGTCCTTTATCCACTTTTTTTGCCTTTTCTTTCTCTCCTCTGACGAACTATCTGTAAAGACACAACATCAAAGAGAAAACGCAGTGAAATAACAAACATCCTTTCTTGCTTTCTTTCTCTGTCTCAGTGATGAATAAAGGCCAGAGTGTGACAAAGTATTACCGGTGGATCCAGAAGAATGGTGGTTACATCTGGATCCAGTCCAGTGCCACCATCGCTATCAATGTGAAAAACGCCAGCGAGAAGAACATCATCTGGGTCAACTACGTTCTCAGGTCAGAGGTCGACAATGTGATAATGATCTTGTGGTATGGTGGAACAGTCCAAAAAATTACCTCCTACCTCTTTTTTCTTATTGCTTTTCCTTGATCTCTGTGGAAACATTAGGAGGTCAAGGAGAGTTTATCAAAACTCATTCAAAAGAAGTAAAAGAGAAGCTGCTCAGAGAATCCAGATGTATGTATACTAGACTCTTAAACAAATGCAGATGTCCAGAAAATGGAGAGTTTTACAGGGACAAGAGCCTCTGCAGATTAATTAAAGAAACAAAGCCAATGAAATGAACTAAATCACATTTTCTTATTTTTTCCTGCTTGAGAGTGATCCAGTGTAACTCCTTTTCTTGTCCCTGTTTTCTACGACCAACGAAACCTAAACGGGGACATCTATCACTTATCCCAGTTGACCTGACATAATAATGAATTAATGAATTGCATAGCTGGCAATGCAAAAGCACACATTTCTAATGCAAACTAAATTGTAGCCATCCTATCATATAATGTAAGCTGAAAAATAATACAACTGTGATTTGGTGGTTGAAGAATGTGATGAACTGTTTCAGTTAAATTCACCAGACCAAAGTTTCAGCCAAACATCATTACAACATCAGTTTTTTTCTAATTTACATAGAGGTGCAAAGTACTGTAGATTAATATCATACAGAAATTAATAAAGCCAGCTTTCATTGACTATTTTGTTTTACTTTTAAAGAATAGACAGACATAGGCATTACTTTATAAAAACATTTGCATCCTCCCCATTTTACTTTATAATGCATTCACGATTGGAGCCATGTTATTATAAATTATACATTATAGCCAGGGGTGCACATAAGTGGTCCGCTGTCAAAATAAAAGACGCGCACCAGATAAGAAGTTGCAACGTGCGTTTGCGTCCATATAAAAGGCGCTGTTTTTGTCCACTAGAGTGGGATTTTCATGGCATATTCTGCACCACATCTCTGTGTGTTCATCATTTGTTTGAAGCCAGCTCACCTCCAGCAACCACTTTTCCGAGAATACGTGCTTCTTTTGCGGTTCGGACTCCTTCTAACATTTCTTTGGAGGTGGAGGAACACCAAAGTAATTGCTTAAAGGAGTTTGCTTCTTCGACATCTTTAAGAGTTCTAAACAAATGTCTGTCCTCCTCCAGAAAATCTTATGTGCGCAAACGTGCGTTGCAACTTCTTCGCGTCGTGTCTTTTATTTTGACAGTGAATGCGCACCTGCGGACAACTTATGTGCACCCCTGATTATAGCTGATATTTATTTTCATTAGATTTGACCAAGGCAATCGATGAACAAACGTTTCTTCTGTCACTGACAAATTTTCTGTGTCTTTGCAGTAATCCAGAGTATAAAGACACACCCATGGACATTGCCCAGCTGCCAAACCTGCCTGAGAAAGCTTCAGAGTCCTCTGAAACTTCAGACTCTGAGTCCGAGTCCAAAGAAAACTCAGGTGGGTAGAAAAGGGAGAACAGAGGAGCAACATATAGTTGCTAAAAAAAAAAAAGGTTTTACATATAGTTGATATATTTGACAATATTTGGAGTAATCTGCTGGCCTCTAGTGCATAGCCTGAGTCCTGCCATCATTTTCTTCAGCCACAGTTTGAAGAAGAGCAAAGATTAAAAAGCCGTTCTGCTTACCATCGTGTCCATTCAGTCACGTTTTAATGGAGATAGGCATCAGCGTCATTTATATTTTGTATATTCTTTTCCTTTTTTTGTTTTTGCTCCTCTGGATTCCGTTGGATCTAGAGGGCCTCTGACAAAACTGATCTTATCCCAAACGCAACAGCTCCTAGATGGCAAAGCCTATGTAAAATAAAAAGAGTGAACCAAAAAGATATAAATCAGATCATATTCTTACATTGTATAAATATTAGAATAGTTACGATATTGCACAAAATGCTTCTAAAACCTACATGATTCCTTAACAGCACCTGTTCAAATACAACCAGAAAAAAGAAATATGGTTTGAAGAAGAGAAGCCAAAGATATTTTATCAGCTGGTGCCAGTGTGCTGACTTTGCCAGGCTGAAATGTCTTGAATGCCAACAGCTGCAGGGACTGGGCGCTCACTGGCAGTGTTGCAAACTGCGACAAAATGACAAAATGACAAAATATGGTACAGCTGCACAGCATCACACAATGCCTCCAAACTTCACACATCACAAAATCCTGCAAAATGCCTCAAATAAAGGCCACAATACACAAACACCCTCCAAGAAATGCACCAAAATGGCACAAAGGAAAAAAACTGTGAAATAACACATTCTGCTCATCGTTGGAGATCTGCAAATCACAAAGGTTTAGGCGATGCCATCTCAGTCCTGTAGGCAGGGGAATCTTCTTTTGTGTGAAAAACAATTCTAGAAAATATTTTTAAATGAATAACATTTCTTCAGGGATAAATTCTGTGCTACTACTTTTTCTTTGTGTGTAGTTTAGGTCATAAAACAGCTTAATTACAATATTTGACAGTGAGTACTAAAACAGGAGACTATAATAAATCTGCTTTTCATCACCCTTGACACTACAGACACTGTAGTGCTGCTGTTAGTTTGAAATTTATTTTGTTCCCACTACAGAGGCTGTCCAAACTTCCTAGTCCCATTGATTCGCTGCAACAGATCAGTAAAGAAACACGATTACAGACCTTGATACAAAATGCTGGAATAACATCTGGAAGCAGAAGATATTGTATTAGACTAAGAAAAAGGGAGCTCTGTTCAGTGAATGCACTTGTCAGCAGTCTTGAGTCATTTGTTTGTGCAGACATGGCACACCAAAAATGAAGGAGGGCTTTGCCGTAAACCTAAAAAGCAACACTCAGCTTCTCAGATTCTTGGTATAACATTGTCTGCACACGCACAAGTACAAACTTCATCAGTCTTATATGTCAGCTGAGGGGATAAAGACTTCTCTCTCTCAGGTTTGCCTACTTGTATTTCTTTATTGGATACAGAGAGGTAAGAAACTTCCTTGGAATTTTAACTCAGGCTAGTCATTTCATATCGTGTCAGAGCAAACCAGCTGATAAAACTTCCAGCCAACCACTCTGACAACTACCATTTTAACCATTTTAGGCTTGACTGATGAGGTAAAGACCCTGCAATAATATGTTGGGGCTGTTGTTGTAATTTGGTGCTATATAAATAAATTGTTTTAGACCTCGAATCGGCATTAAAAAAACATGACTGTATAGTGTTTTTAATAGTCTGAAAAAAAAAACCAAAATGCCCGATGGCATCTGGTGCTTAAGAGGTATTAATTCTAAATTTTGAATTTGAAAATCAAAACTAGAACCCCGAATTGGATAAGCGGGAGGTAATAGATTGATGGAGAAGCCAAAACTTTCTGTTAAATGTTTTGGAAACTGTTCACTAGATTAAACAAATTCATCAGAATCAATTTACTGGATACACAAGGATGCCTCACCGGTGATAACCTGAGATCTTGAAAACACTGATATCTGAATTCAGATCTAGAAACAGAAAACAAGGATTTTATTCACCTTGTGTCACCAGCATTTTAAGCAGCAGATAATAGTGAAGGAGACAAAGCTCAAAGCAGTGTCATTACAGCTGAATTTAAAGCAAGCCTGGGCCTCCACCTTGAGCGTAATATTATCAAGTCCACCAGCCTGTGCTGGCATGATGGGAATCAGTGCCAGCTGTTATTCTTGCTGGAGGAGAGTGGTTCTGGCACACTGTTGGCTGTAAACTGACGCCAGCTGCTGCAGGAAGTGTCCAGCTTCAGCTCCAACAGGCCTGCGATGCCCCAGTTTGACATATTTTAAAATGAGATATCTGCTCTTTGACATTTGTTCTCTTAAGATGCAATGTATGTACAGAAGGAGAGCCTATGAATAAAGATGCCTAAAATGGCAAACAAAGTTTTCTTTCCCCCCCCCCCCTTTTTTTTTTTTGTGGGGCAGAATACAGCAGATTGTCTGTCACATGCAAAATTGGCATACCATAATCTAATAAGTTTTACTTACCCTACGTTACTACTGTGAATTATTACAACAATATGGATTAATCCGCAGCTGAAAATCCTTCCCATCAAATACCTCCTGATTCACAAATAAAATAAATAAAAAATTGAAGTAATGTAAAAATGCATGCTCAGTGTCGTTGCCAACAACACTGGGACAGAAGAGCAGCAGTGTTGTGTTTTTAACTAGCCTTGTCAGATGCATTTACAGAGAAACCAGTCAGAATTAAATAAGAAAATGAGCAATTCAAGATGTCCTCGACCTGATAGCACTATCCAAAGATTGGGTATCAGATACGCATACTGCCAAAAGTATTCACTCACCCATTCAAATGACTGAGTTCAGGCAATCCAGTCACTTCCATGACCACGTAAAATCAATCACCTAGGCATGCAGACTGCTTCCACAAACATTTGTGAAAGAATGGGCCACTCAGAGGAGCTCAGTAAATTACAGAATATTACCAACTTTCTGAGTTAAGAGCTTCTGTGAAAAGAACTCTTATCGGCTGAGCAAGACTTTTTGAACAATTTCATACTGCCAACTTTATGGGAACAGTTTGGGGATGTACCCTTCCGGTTCCAACAGGACTGCACACCAGTGCACAAAGCAAGGTCCATAAAGACATGGCCTGCACAAAGTTCTGACCTCAACCCAATAGAACAGCTTTCAGATGAATTAGAGCAGAGACTGTGAGCCAGGTCTTCTTCTCCAATATGAGTGTCTTACCTTACAAAAGCACTTCTGGAAGAATGGTCCAAAATTCCCATAAAGACGCTCCTAAACCTTGTGAAAAGCCTTGGTAAAATGGTATATGTGGTTCTTATACAGTGCTTTTCTACACTACCCGCACACTCAAAGTGTGCTATACAATATATTCTCAGAAGAGCTGTAGCTGTTATAGCTAAACCCCGTGGATTAAGAATGGGATGTCACTCAAGTTTTGTGTGTGAAGGCAGACAAGTGAATACTTTTGGCAATATAGTGTATTTCACAGTGTAGTTGTTGAAATGTCTTCTTCATGTGATCTCAATGGTCTATGAAAATACTTGACTCCATTTTATTGTGAAATGATATTTCATTTATATTGAACCTCCCTGGTTGGGAGGAACCTTTAAGACTACCGGTCCATTTTTAATTTTCAGGCTTGGAATACATCTGTTTTGCTTGGAAAGCACACTTAATGGAGATACAAGGTTTCCCCCAGACAAAGCAATTGAGTCGACATTTCGGATGCCATTAGGGAGTCTTAGCTCTGCCAGCTGGGCAGCCGCTGGCCTGGCCTATGTGTGTGCTGGCAGAGTTTAAAGTGTGTATGTGTTGTGTGTGTAATGGGCTAGACAGAGCCAACATGCCTGAACAGAAGCAGCTATGGATACTGAGCACACATCAGTGCATCCAGAAAACAACACATGGAATACCTGTCCTGAAAAATGTAAGGGGGCATGCAGAATTACGCAGGTATTCAATGGCAGTGTTGGCAAGTCAGTCTGACACACTCACTGGATGGAGTGCCAAGACACTTGTGTTTCCAAGAGTATAAATCTTATTGTTTTTTTTAGGGAAACTCTTCACTGTTACAACATCAGGATAAATTTTTTCACAACATTGGAGCATAATTTTTATGTCAGTGCATCAAAGTTTTTGATTCACTCCATATCAAAGCAATTAACAAATCTAATGATTTTCTTTTCCATTACTAAAGCCACACCTCTATATCATGAATGTGAGTTCACATGGTTCAGATGGTTAATGGACTGTAATTAACAAGCAAATTAATGGTTGAAACGATGGTGCACAGCATTAGTTCAAGCAGGTTATGAAGTCAGGATCTGCCACAGTTCCCTTCAGTAGCACTGGCTGCATTTGCAAATCACTTTGCAACCCATTCCGGCAACAGCTCTTCCCTTCATGCTGTGTTTGACTACATCATCAATTTTATGTGTTCATGCAGTGTCTTGTTGCTGCTCTGGGAAGATATCATACTGCCAAATATTAAGAATCTACTTATGTCTAGAATGGTTTCGACTGTAACTGGAATCTTCTTTTTCTGCATTATAAACAAATTTTTTTTTTTCGACAGACAACGAGAACACCAAGGCAGAGGAGAAGCCCGGCCACCAAACAGAACACAGTGAGGACCCAGAGACAGACAGCAAACGTCAGCAGCAACCCGGCCAGTCACACTGTTCATCTGAACAAGAAATGAAGCGCCAAGAAGAAGGAGATAGCTCAAGTAACCCTGAGAGCCAGGACAGTGATGACAGTCTGGAACCTTCAGATGGAGAGGGTGAGGAGCAAGAAGAGGCTGGCAGAGGAGGGGGAGGAGGAGGTGGAGGCAGGTTGGGAAGGTTAGCAGGGCTTGGAGGATTAGGGAGTCTGGGTGCCATCGGTGGACTGGGTAACCTAGGTGGGCTTCATATTAAAGTAGAGCACTACGGAGAAGGGGAAGACGTACAGCTGCGTAGCTCCCAAACGTCTTCATCAGAAGAGGAAGGAGAAGAAGAAGAGGAGGATGAAGAAGATGACGAGGATGACAATGGGTGCGTGCAAGATTGTGACAGTGTCAATGCTGGTAGCAAGCTGCAGAAAAGGCGAAAGAGGAGGAAAGTGCAGAAATGGGATGGCTCACGAAGCAGGAGGCTTCGTCTGTCTTCAACTACACCCAGTCCCATAGCAATAGGCGATACCACTCCGCTAGTCGACCCCTCCCAAGCCACAACCGCAACCTCCACCCATCTCTTAGCCTCATCTGGCTCCCCAAACAGTGCAAATGCAGCATCCTCAGTTCTGAAGATTAAGACAGAGATGGCAGAACCAATAAACTTTGACAATGACAGCAGCATCTGGAACTACCCTCCCAACAGGGAAATTTCCAGAAACGAGTCTCCATACAGCATGACCTCCAAGCCATCTGCTCCAGGGAGCCATGAGACCTTCCCCTCACCACAGGGAGGATCTCTCCAGGTAGCCATTCCTGACTCTGTCCTCACCCCTCCTGGAACTGAGGGAGGAGCAGGAGGAGTGAGGAAACCCCCTTACAATGGAAGCTCAGCCCCATCCTCTGCCTCCAGTGCTGTAAGCTTAGCTCCTCCTTCCAGCGCCTCCTCTGCCGACCCCCTATCTCCTCCCCTTTCTGCATCCCCACGGGACAAGCAACAAGGCACTCCCACCACCTCTTCTTCCTCATCTTCTTCTTCATCCTCCTCAACCTCTTCTTCTTCACTACTGTACTCTGGGGACCTTGAAGCACTTCAGCGCCTGCAAGCTGGTAACGTGGTGCTTCCGCTGGTCCACAGAGTCACAGGTACTCTGGCCTCCACCAGCACGACAGCTCCACGGGTCTACACCACTGGGACCATCAGGTATGCGCCAGCGGACGTAACTCTGGCTATGGCACAAGGCAACCTCCTCCCTAATGCTGCCATGAACTTTGTTGACGGCTCAGGGTTTGGCCTGGACCCTAAGACACCCATGGAGATGCTCTACCATCATGTCCACAGGCTCAACATGTCTGCTGCGGCAGCTGCTGGCCCCTTTGTCGGATCTCCTACTGCCACAGGTGGGAACGGTGCCCTTGGAGGTCAGATGCCAACAACAGCCAATGTTTTCACCACAGCAGAGGGACTGTTCTCAACGCTACCATTCCCAGTGTACAGCAACGGGATCCATACCACGCAGACAACACTGGAGAGGAAGGAGGATTAGCAGAAAGTATCCAAGACCGCATTACTGTGTTTTCGGAATCAACAACTGTGTCAAAGACTGCTCACTAGTAAATAAAAATGAAAGACTATTTACTTGTTTTATCAACACGGTTTAGCACTGTGTTTCCGAGAGAAGAGAAAGGAAAGGGAAGGATGACAGATGTACTCTAGCACTTTGAATCTCAGAAACTGAGCTTGCGTAACAGACGTGACCCTCAAACTTGTCCCCCTTTTCTATCTGTTTTCTCTCTCCTCCTCATCCTCTTCTCCTCTCTCAGTCTCTCGCTTTGCTCCCGTTTCTTGCGATCAGCAACTCTTTTCTCTTGAACAAACAAAAACCAGACTATTCTTTATTGTAAAGAACCCCTTTTTTGCCTACAGAGAATTCATATTGCCTAAGGACTCAGTTGGAGCCTGATGGGGATAATTTTTATTATTTGACTTGTTTCTGTTGCATCTTTATAAAGATGTGGATTGTGTGTATTT